AAAAAAATCCGGTGACTTATGTCAGGGGAGTGTACATCTTTATTTAAATATTTTAAATATTTATAATATGAATCACATTATATTTTGTACCGGCCGAAATTTTATTATCGAACTCATCACAAAATTTATCACGTGTAGTAATGTACAGTACATACAATACAGTACATAGTTGTATAGTGATATAAAATTTTGCAAGAAATAACTTTACTTAGAAAATAAAAGGCAGTTTCATAAGTAAAAATTTGAGATATGAATAGTTTTATCATTTGTTCTAGAATATTCTAAATTTTTTTTGAATACTGTACTATACGCGGCACATCACTAATCACGTGTCCAACTATTTTTTATGTTTTTTGTTTTTACATTTGTTTTGTTATACAATGTTCCGTAATTCTATTGGTTCCGATGAACAATTTTGAGATTGGAGGTGATCTTTAGCCCAGAAATTGCTTAGGTTTCATCAATCATTATAGGTTTCATCAATCGTCATAGATTTCGTCAATTGCCATAGGTTTCGTCAATCGTCAATTTGTCATTTGGAAGTCACTTGACGAAATGGTTTCATAAATCGTCAGTGATGAGGGTTTCGTCACTCGTCAGGCATCATTAATTGGGGTGTTCCACGCCCTATGATTTACAAACATAGTGCAGCACTATATGATTGGCGTACTAAGTAAGATTTTCAAAAAGCATTGCACACACGTGATTTATTTAGAAGAATCTGGAGTCATGTCCCAAAATAGATTTTTTATTTACAGAATGCATACATCAGTTTGCTATCGATGTACAAATAAACTGAAATGGGATATGCACCCGGCAAAGTAGCAATTGAGATTGTGCCGGGTATCCCATGGGCAGCAGATGCGGCATGGCGCAGTAATGGCCGGTGGTTTCCGCCTGCGTAACGCAGGCCGGCCGACAAATGGAAATAAGTAGTTGTCAATGAAAATGGCAGGATTCGACTATTCCAAAATAAAGAAGAGAAGTGCGCGAATTCTGTCATTTTCATCCGGGGCTAATTGCAACTGACCAGTTGATGGCTGCAAAGATGCCGTTTATTAATTATAAGATGATGAGCCATGAATGTGTGCTAAGCCTATATATAATATATATGTTTTTTTTTTTTTTTTTTTCTCGGATGAACTGCCTTGGTATTATTCTGATGAACGATCTATTCCAAAGATATATAGATGATCGGTCAATCAGAATATGCTTTTGATAAAACAGTGGCTATCGTCACCGGGTGGGCCCGAATGTATCTGTAGAATGCATCGGATGACCATCTGCTGATCTTCTGAATGAGTGGCAGTTGTACTCCGCGTAAAACCAACTCTGTTGTGCCACCTGCCCTGAAGCTGTGTCCCCTATGTCCATTTCCAGTAAGAGGAGTTTAAGTGTGTTTATGAACCAATGCTTTGTGGCTGGGTCACTATTGGCTTTCACGAATAAAGTGTCCTTCCCTTGCGCGTACGTTGGTTTTGTTCTGCAAATTATATAGGCTTTTAATGCGCGAATTGGACATAATTCATTATTAGTCAGATTGATAATTAAAACCGGATGTTCTGTTGTTTTATGGGTCTTTGTTCTGGGTAACTGTATTGTTGCGAAAGTATTACTACCGGCCTTATCAAATCTCACGCTTTGTATCTTCAGTATTTTATGCATTCCTTGCTGACACTGTGGTAGTAACTCTCCTAACCGGGCCAGGCCATAAAATGCTACCAGTGCTATCGACCAAAACAATATACCTTCTGTGTTGCCGAAGTTTAAGCTATTGCGCATTCTTTGTAACTGTGTTCTTGTAATGTGCTCTTTCTGGCGCACCGGGTGAAACATGTGACCGCCTTCTATTGTCTTCAAGAGTTGCTTTACTAAAGGGTCATACCGAACTTCGTTCCATTCGATCTGATTCATGGTATGATAATGCTTAAGGGCGGATAAATAGGATGTTATAGTTTGTGGTGTCACGTTTTTGTGTAAGTAAGCGATAAACTTTATTAAATTTTCTTTTGATATAGGCCATATTGCTCCATTGCTGTTTGTCCATCCTTGTTCTGTTGCCAATCTGTGATACCTTTTTATTATCGCGTCATATGTTCTATACATTGGAGGGTGTATGCCTAAAATTTTTTTCGCCTGCTCATTTAGTGTTGTCATGGTCGTAGGATATTCATTTGTTTGTCTCAATGCTGGTTGTTGTCGTCTGCTTCCTCTTTGTTGTGTTATATTATACCGTGGTCCTATTGTAAAAGTGATGGGATGGTGAGTATCAAGTTAGTATAATTGCTTGGGATTACTGGTTGTAAGTAGTGTGCATGGGGGTTCTGTGTCATAAACTTCCTGTGGCCATTGCGCGACAACAAATCTGCTTCCACATTATCTTTCCCATTTATATGCTCTAGTTTGATTGAGAAGTTTCCTCGGACCTGAGCCATATATATATCTGCAATTATGTCATTTAATAGAGGGTTCTTACAATATCCCGCATAAAACGCTTCCGCGTTAGCCAAGTTATCCGTCCAAATTATAAAACGTTTTTGTATCCATAAAGGTGAAAAAGTTAATATCACGATGAGGGTTGTTAAAAGCTCGCGTATTTGGATATTGTGTTTGGTGATGTCTATTGCTCTCGACCAGTTAAAAGTGGTGAAATACATGTCGTAAGTAGCCCCGCCGCCCAGGTTAGATGCGTCTGTGAATAAGTTTTGAACCTCAGGCCGCAGCCATGCCCTGTCTTCTAAGAAATACACGCCAGACCATTCTGGCAATATTTTCAACCACCATATAATATTTGCTTTCATTTGACTTGTCATTTTGATATGGTACTTCAGGTTATTAGAACCTTCTAAAGCCTTGATAAAGCATTGCACAAAAGGTCTGCCTTGGGGTATGATTTGGCACAGCCACATGAGTGAACCAACTAGCGACTGTAGTTCTTTCTTATAGCACCACTTCCTTTTATTCCATTCTGATAGCATTTGCAGGATCTTTGTCTTTTTTAATTCTGGTATTGTCGCTGACAATGCTATCATATTGATATATATTCCTAAAAACGTAAGTGCTGTTCCCGGGCCTTCCAGTTTCGATTGCTTATACGGAACGTTCATTATCGCCAATATTCGAAGAAATTGGTATAATTCTTGCTCTGCCAGACCTTGTGAGATAATTAAAAAATCGTCTACGTAGTGGATTATCGATCTGATTCTATGTTGGACAGCGATCCATGCAACAGCATCTGCAAATCGGCAAAAAATGCCACCTGATGCTCTGTTTCCAAATGCTAGAGCTTTGTCGAAGTATATTTTTCCATCGTATTGTAAACCTTGGAGGACCTGGTCTACTGGATGTACTGGTAATATGCGATAAGCATCTTGAATGTCCACTTTTAATAGCATGCAACCTCTCCCATACTGCATTATCCATTCTACTGCATGGTTTATATTTTCGTATTTTGTCGCGAATTCAATCTTATCTATCCCATCATTTACGCTCGCCCCGAATGGAGAAGATAAATGTAAAATTACACGGTATGCTTGGGGCATAGTATCTTTTTTCTCAACTAGGCCGCACGGGTTGATTTGAAACATCTTGCATGGTGGCTTTTCTAAAGAAAATGGACCGCACATACGACCAACTGCTATTTCTTTACTTATATAGCTTTTAAAAGCTGTAGGTTCTATCTCGATTGACTTTAGATTCGCTTGAATCATTGTTGTGCGTTTGCCAAAGAAATTAAAACGGAAACCTTGCTCTAAGCCTCTCATTAAATACTGGATAAACGGGCAGTTTGGATGCTTTTGTGTAAGGTGCTCGAATGCTAACTTATTAACAGGTGTTGTTACATTAAATACTGTTGGCTCTAACTGTGCCGCAATCTCTATTTCTTCCTGTGTGAATTGATTCCTTTTTGGTAACGATGTCTCAATAGTCGAGTTTACGGATTGCAGTGACGGTTTTGTTTGCGCCGCAGTCGTGAATACTCGGGATGCTTTAAACTGTGCCAGATGTCTCATGCATAGTTTCCGTCTCTCTACCGCGTTTGCTATTAAATATGAACCTTGTTAGTATGTAAGTCAACAATTTTTTTTTTTTTTTTTTTTACATATACGATATTCATGTGTATATTTATTCATATGTATATGTCGTGGAGTTCAAGCAGCATAATATATCTTTCGCCCTTATTTAATGTTTATTATATATGTTTGATTTCATACAAATATGTATATTATTATTGATCTTCGTCTCTTCACTCCTTCCCCCTTTTTTTTTTTAATTTATTTCATTCTTAATCGATAATGTTTAATGGACCTACTATCGCTTTACTAAAAATTTTATATTATGTAATTAAATTCGACCTTTAAAACGTTCTAACTCCTGTTCTAGCAAAGCGAATTGAATTATGAAACTTGTAAATGATAATTAAATAGTATAGTTTTAAATCTATGTGGCCATATTTAATATTAAAATGTGAATTTTAGTAGGTCTCTATAGTTTAAACATATAAATAACAAATATTTTACTATTAAAATTTATTAATTTAGAATTTTGGATAAGTTAATACAACAAATTAGAAAATGTCTTCACATAGGTTTAAAACTATACTATCGATATATCATTTACAAATTATAGAATTAAAATTTCTTTATTAGAATGACAGTTAGAGCATTTTAAAAACACACCGATTTTATAATAAAATTACTATGTAAATCTTCTAATAAAAATGATCTACAAAATTTTATTCGAGTTGACATGCAGTCAACAGATCGAAAAGATGGCTAAGCGGTGATTTAACGATCGCCAAGCACGTGGTCAAAGACCGGAGCCACCTCGGCCGGCAGGGGGCCGAACAAATCAACATCATGAGA